AAACGCTCTACAGTTACTGGGAAGAACGCGGCGGCCGAGACCAAGTAACACGACTTCAAGAGTTCCACGTCTACAAGTTCAAATCAAAGGGCTGGAAGAAAGGCGAATGGGCTTACAACAAAGGATGATACGTGGGTTATCGTCATGCTCGTCAAAGCCTGACTACATTTTAGATTACAGCGACCCCGACGTATTCACCGACGACACCGGCGAGGGGGGAGGTCGGGCCCAGCACAGTGGTAGAGCAGCGTCCCAGCGAGGAGGCAGATGATGAGGTCTTGATCAATCCGGGGGATCTCCATGCCGAGCTGGCCGGAGACCTGGTTCGACAACGAGGGAGAGCTCATCAACGACCCAAGACCCTTCGACAAATGGCAAAGTAGCTCTTGCAACAGTAGATATGAGATGTAGCTGGTCAGATCTATAACACATACTACTATCCTCCAACATGGCCACAAAGAATTCGATTAAGCTATAACACGAAATCGACTACCTTGTCCGACACAGAGTCAACCGCCAAAGAAAGACGTGGTGTTTTATGCCCAAGGGGTGATGATGCTCCGAGTCATCGAGTGGCTCGCACCAAAACGAAACCGATCCGATCTGGCGAAAGATCTGGACTCACCGAGCCCTTGCCCAAATAATTCGTGGATCAAGTTCATGAAGGTGACATATATGTAATAAATGCCCATATGGGAGTACCCGCCGCAATGCTTCTTGATGAAGCCAACATTTGGTGTAGCCCTGCCGATCCTTCTTTCAGTAGTACCTCACAATTTTCATCCGCATCATGGGAGGATGTTTCTTTTTATAGTTATAGTATACAGACCATATACAGAGACGATATAGCACCTAGGTCTGCCAATGTTTGGTTCACACTCGCCCACCAAGCCCTTCAGGCGTTTCTGGACATGAAGAGATCATCAACACCACTTCAAGTCGAACCCGACTGGATTTTCATTATCACTCCTTATATAATAGCCTTGGATAAACCAAAGCATCCAAATTGTCAAAACCATGGCCTGCCTGGCCTGAAACAAGAGTGCCCCTAAGGCTTGAGAAACAAGTCATTGGGCGCGCTGATCGAATGCCGCAGGCCAAAGACCGATATCGATATGACAAACACAGATGTCCTTTCCTGTGCCGAGTCATTCACCACAACTCCCAGAAATAAGACATGGCTGCAACCGACAGCACACATTGTCGCAGGCATGGGATACCAGTACGACAGCTTCCCATCCTTTTATGCCTCTTATGGCTTCGCTGCGCTCAAGAATGCCATGGTTTGGTAGATGACATCTGCCATCAGATGTATCTGGTGCTAATTCAGAGATTGAAGTTCCGTCGGAAGATAGACCGAATTGACATGCAGATGGAGTCTGCCCGCCTTGGAGACATCATGTATCCGCACATCATTCCCACTGAGGCTCTGGGAGATATATACTAGTAGCAGAGGCGTGCAAACGGCCTGTTCGATAAGGGCCCCCCACTGGAAGCACAGGAAAACAAGCTTGCTCTTCAAGAGCAAGGAAATCATATACCGCGACCTTCCAACCTGAAGGGAGAGAATGTGATCAAAACTATCCTGGTTGACATCGTCAGTCTTTAACAAGCAATTCATTCGATCTTACGATTGGGAACAGGAATGTATATATGCTCTTCGACCACACCAAAGCAAGACCTCGTCTGCCTTACCAGGGCAGCATGCAGCACGATATTTTGAGACTCTGCTGGCTCAAGGACAACTCATTAACAATATATTAACAGTTTTCAATGGAACGCATCAACAACGCTTCACATTAGCAACGCTGGACATGATATCGACTTCTCTGCAAAATTTGGCTGAACAATTGTCGTTCGTCGTCGCATGAAACCTCATCATCGCCCCTCTGAACTTTAACACCAAGGATGAGTTTATCACTCAAGCCATAGCCGACTGCCTCTTTACCGACAGTTGAAAATCTCCCGCTCAAGTTTCAATTCTGGCAGAACGCCAGGTTCATTGAGCCGAAACATGATGATACGAGGCGTGGCGAGTCATCCACAAACGCTTCCACCAGGAAAGCTTTACTAGATACTGTGTGCTAAACCTGACGTTACCGACTTCATGACCTCATGGACACCGAGGATAGCAACAACTCGGCTGCAGCTAAGAAGTAATTCGTCTATACTCCAGTTCCGACACCACTCTCACTCGCACTACCCGAAACGCTGCGTTCAACGTTTATAAAGCCTACTGGGGTGGCGGCACGACCGCAACCCAGAGCTGATCTCCCTACCGTCGGGTTTTTGAAGCAATTTCCACGTCAAGAATGGTATTCGGCAACGCCTTAGAGTGGTTGCTGGGCCAATGTTCAGCTGAGAGTACCTACTCACACTTCTCACGAAGCCTCGCAAACTTGTTTCGTTTTCGGAAGAACTGTCGTTCCTCACATCACTGGCGGGAGAAGCATGCTTGATGCGTGAGAATCACAGCTCTCCCGAATAGCGGGTCATAGTTGATCCGGGTCTTGGTGTTTTCCCACAACACCAAGGCCCACTCTCAGAATTGACCCGTCATACCCTTCTGAATACCTTCATTTGCCTTACGAGCTGTGATTCGGTATCAATGTTATATATATACATATGAACGAGTCCGAACAGCTGACCGCCAAATTCACTTGCCAACAGATTCTTCATAATTCTTTCTCTAATCTCTCAAAGTAACGAAGACTATATCGCCCAACACTCTTCCGTCTCTCACTTCCCATTACCCAACACTTTCTGACAGCCTATCTCACCACACACTGCTGCAGAAGGGATCACCGACGACTTCTGGTCAAGGTTTTCATTTGTACCATCACATCTCGGAGGTCCTTGAACTGAGCATGGAGGTCAAGCATTTTACTGCTCAAAGCACAACCAAGAGAATCGCAAATCTCTAAAGCACGCAAAGCCGACTCATAGGACCAAGGATAGACATCGAGACATGTCCATCAAATCCCGAATGCAACAATGCGAAATTACTATATTATCTAGCGAGCGTACCACTATAATTCCTTCGCTATCGATGCCTATGGGGGAATTGACGGTCCTAACCGTAATGCCTATATCAAGAAGCTGCATGCAAAACAACAATCTTCTCGCGTGCCAATGATGAGGCCACGTCATGATTCTAACTTCTCCCTGGGCATTAGAGGTGGAGAACTTGAAGAAATGAAAGTACATGAGTATCTCATCTCTTAAGTCTCCCATATGGATTCTGACATGCACATCAACTGACGAATGCGAATGTCAACATCTTGAAGCGATGCCCACCGGCCTGTCGCCCCAGGCATGTTCAGGAGCAATGACAGTTTGCCCTTCGACCTGGAGCATCCTAGAAAGGCAGACTCAGCCTGAGTCTCAGATATGTTTGAGATTCACAGTCCGAAAAGGATTTACATTCTTGCCCGCTCCTATACCTATATAGTTACATATATATAGCACTGACTCCTCTCCCGATGATGATTCTGCAATCTCCGAAGACTCTGATGAGGTTCACTTCATCAGTCAGTCCAAGGCCTCTCGGAAGCAGAGGCACAACCGACGCAGACCAGCCGCTAAATCCGGCAGTTCCATTCGTTGAGGACCTTGGGAACAGCGGCACTGCATACACGAATACCAAGGCTACAATGTTGACGAGGAGAAGTCAATTGCCGCCAATCATCACCATAACAATGTAGCTGAGCTGAGCACAACCAATGATGTTCATCCGCCACAAAACTGGGGAATACTTCTCTTATATAGAACTCTAGATGGTCCGTCAAAGTCACGATATCGAAGAAGGCCAAGCGAAAGGTGGATTGTGATGCAGACGAGGAATCTCCCGCAAAGAAGTCCAAGATCGACAACGCGGCAAGTGAGGCAAGAGGGTCGATCCGTCAGGTCGCTCGAAAGGCCTCTCCTCTCCTACGGGTCAGTCACACCAAGGGCCAGGCGAGAACTCTGCCTCGCTGATGTTACAGCGCGTAATCCTCATGATGTTGAAAAGATTCTTCTTTCACTTCTTGGGAAGATCAACGCCAGCAGACCGTTTTAATCGGTTCGTTCGGGGTTCGCAATCCCAAGATGTGCCGCAATTGCACCATTGCCTACCTCTCAACTACTAGCTGGAATGATGAGCACTACCTTTGGCCCTTTCATTCCCCGAACTCAGATGATGGAGACCAGACCTTGATCATGGAGAAACACCTGCTTGGATAAGATGATGATATCATCCCTCCACTGCAATCAAGCATTACGGCTTCCCTGTGTTGAAATGGCCCGTGAGATATAGCAATAATATCTGATCAGGCCATCCTCTCCAACGAACTTAGCCCCGATAATTTTAACATTATACAGACTAACACTGTCTCTATCATAAATAAAGAGTTGGGTTTACCACTTAGATAGACATAAACAATAAACTATTCCCACTTGACTATGGACTTCGTACTGTTCACTCGTAGATACTTACTTCTCAAAGTCCAACCCGTGACTTAATACACACATTCCTACGTATTGTTGCAAGACCAAGGCTCTTAAAACAACAACCATAACGAAAAGCGACAGATTACTCTTCAGCAAGTTATCCAATAAATCACATCTGGCAAATCACAAAGCAAGGCAATATCATGAGTGAATCAAGTCTTATTCTCGTACAACAGCCCATCCGGGGCATCTATGTTTTCCAGCCTCATCCCGAGGACTTTAAACCCGTACACCGACCTGCGTCGTCCGCCGAAAAAAGGTCCCAAAAACTTCCAAAATGTGGTATCTTTGCGCAACCACCAACGCCTCGCAATGCATCATGCCCTCGTGAAAAAAGACGTCGGGAGCCCCCCCTCCCGAACGCCGCCAAAAAAAAGAAGTCATCGTCGTCCTTGTTCTTGTGCACCAACTGGTGCCAGCGATGTCGAAAGCAAAAAATCGTCAAAATAAACGCAAAGCCGCCAACCACCAAGGCAGCCGTCTCCATTTGTCGGGAGACTTCTGGGTGCTCAAACCCCAGAGCGTGCGCTGGAGCGCGTCACGCGCTGAGGTTTGGCGGGTGTGCCGTTGGCCACCATGCCCAGATCCGATGCCACCTTGGTGGCCCGCTTCGCCTTGGGCTTAGAGATGCCCGTCTGTCCTTGTGTGGCCTTGCCCTTGGCCCGCCCCTTCTTGGGCTCCTCTCCTTGCACCTTCTCCAGGGGCTGGTTCCACCCCACGCGTCGACCAGTTGCTGGCCTCTCCGACTCCTCACCCTCACCCTGGTCAGAGTTCTTCTCTGCCTCGTCCGCAATTCTAACGAGGACCTCGGCAGGGAACTCGGCCTTACCCATGTTCCGCTTGGTGTTGGCCCGCGTCTTGCGAGCCAACTCGTCTTCCTCGCTGCGAGCCTTCTTTGGGAGGCTGCGGCCCGCACCGGCCCGGCCGAGCTTGATGGGAGTAGGCAGCGACGACTTGGGAGCGCTGCTCGGGTTCTCCTGGCTTCGGAGCCGAGACGATCGGCGGGTGGATGTGTTGGGCGCAAGCTCGTCAACCTGCTTGCCGTTGGGAGTGTCGGTGGAGGGGGAGGCAGAGGGAAGATCCGTCATGTCAATGGCCAGCTCTGCCCTCTGGCGCTTAGCCTTGGTCTTCCGAGTGACCTGGCGGATCGACCCTCTGGCCTCACTCGCCGCATTGTCCATCTTGGACTTCTTTGCGGGAGAATCCTCATCCGCATCACAATCCGCCTTTCGCTTGGCCTTCACGGGACTACCCCTGTTAGGGCTTCGAGCTCCGAGAGGCTGGCGCTTGGCTGCTGGTGCGATTGGGGATCCAGCTTCTGTCGTAGTGACGGCAGGGATGATTTCTGCTGCGAGTGTGAGAGCGGTGGTGTCTGTGGCAGCGGTAGTTGAGGATTCTTTGGTGGTAGCAGTAGCAGTAGCGGAAGCGGTAGTTCGGCGATTCTGGCTGATGAACGCGCGTAAGTAATCTCGACCTGGGCTGTCCAAGTCTTGGCCACCATTGTTGGCAGCAGGAGCGGCTTCTACCTCCTGGATAGGGGGAGCTGCTGGAGTCTCGACCTGCTGAGCAGGTGTTTCATCGTCCCGCTTAGCGGGCGTTTCTTCCATGACCAAGGTGTGGTCGCCATTATCGGCTGCTGGAGTAGAGAATTTGGGTGTGGCGGGCCCCTGGGAGATGCCCATTGCGTTTCTTGTAGCACGCTTTAAGGGAGTCATCTCGCTCTGACGGCGGGTAGCACGTCGAATAGAACAAGGTCGGTCGACTGTTGTAGGTTCGCCGAAGACAAGAGTGTTGTCGTGCTGAGAAAGTTCAGGTGTATCAAATTCACCGGGGGAGGAGCGGTCGATAACACCGACACCGTTGATATCAGGTGTCTTGAGGAGCGATTCAGTAGATTGAGGCTCGGGGGTCTGCATTACGCTGGGAGATGGGCTGGTAACGTCACCGAAACTGCTGAGATCAGGAGTCTGTGTAGTGGGGTTGACGGGTCGGGGCCTTGGTGTAGAAATGTCGACGGATGGAGAGAACGAGAGAGAATCGTTGAACCCTTGGCTTGCGGGGAACATGTGGGCATATCTGGCCGACAGCTTAAATCGGACAAAGAGTCTACCGTTTTCCTCAGTGACCACGACCTTAGCGTGGCCATTGCAGGCGTCATCGGCCATGCGAGAAAGGTTCTGGATGGGAGTAGGGGCAGGGGGTGAAGAAATCTGGGTCCCGAAAATGTCAGGGTTCTCTCGGACATCAATGTTCACAACACTTTCAGAAGAAGTGGGAGCTTTGGTGACAGGTGTCTCGGTAACGGTAGTGGGTGGCTGCACGGAACTGTGCTGCTCGTCCTGGCGGTTGGTGGGAGCTAAGGTGGGTGAAGAATTCAGGTCTCGCATCCAGAGGTTCTCAGTGAGAACACTGGCATAGCCCAAGTTGGACTCGCCTTCGGTAGGCTTGGCTGCCTCAATGGGATCAGCCTCGGTGGCAACACTCTCCTCCATAATTGTGTCAAGAGGCAGGTTATGCTCGGCCGCGCTTTCAGCTGCAGGCTCGTTGGAGGAAGAAGTAATAGAAGCAACACTCTCCTCCATAGGTGTGTCAAGAGAAAGAGTGTGTTCGGCCGCGCTACCAGCTGCAGGCTCATCGGAAGGAGAAATAGTAGATTCGAGAACAGAAGTCTCGTTGGCTGCCTCGGTGGGATCAGCTTCAGTCGCAACACTCTCCTCCATAATAGTGTCAAGAGGGATAGTGTGCTCGGCCGCGCTTGGAGCTGCAGGCTCTTTGGAGGGAGAAGTAATAGAATCGAGAACAGTAGTCTCGTCAGCTGCATCGATGGCAGCGGCCTTCGCAGGTGACTCATAAGTGATGTCGAACAGCGAGGCAATAGAAATGTCATCGCTGAAGATCGCTTCCTGTTGGAATTGGACCTTTTGGGGAGATGACGAGAGACGACGGGCTCGGGTGTCGAGGAACTTGCGGAGCAGAGGTTCGCTGCGACGACGACGCGCCTGGTTACCGGCCTTGATACGGATGGGCTCGGTGGGCTGAGGAGAAGAAAACATCCACGAGTTGGAGCTACCGAAGGAAGTTGTTTTCCCGAAGTCGAAAGTCTCACTAGGCTCAAGGACTTCAAGTGTGCAACCGTGTGGCTTGGGAGTAGCGGGAGGGAGGATGGCAGGAAGAAGGGCAGCGAGACCGATGGGACTGTCGGTCTGGTGGGGGGTAACGGGGAGGGGAGCGCTCTGGGCAGCAGGAGTAGCAGGAGTTGAGGGCTCAACTCGGTTCCACTGGGAGGGAGTGGGAGCGATGGGTCGCGAGTAGTTCATGACAGGCGACGAGGATTTGTTGGGGGTCTCTGGGAGACCAGTATCTTCGAAAGAAGATGAATCGCACTCAGATGGCACTCGGAAAGTTCGGCCAGGGCGGGCGGGAGAGTCAGCGACGGATTCAGTGGACATATTGTCCTTGCCAGCAGCAGATCCATAGACAGGGCTGGAACGCTGGGCGAGAGGTGAGGAAGCATGCTTCGACTTGGAAGGAGAAGATTTAGGAGGTGACGATTTCGAAGGGGATGACTTGGAAGGAGAACCCTGGATGCGTTTGGCAAGCTTCGAAAGTCGGCGGACACTCTTCTTGATGGTGTCGCTGGTGATGAGACGAGTAAGTCGCTTCGAGGGAGAAGGGGTCCCAGCGAAGAGAACAGACTCCTCAACAGGCTCCTGAACAGCGATGGGGCTCTCTGGCTCTTCCTCGTCCAAGATAGTGGAGAGTTCGGGCTCGCCGACAGCAGCGAGGCGCTTTCGAGGATCCCGACGACTGTTTTGCAGTGCGGTAGTGACCTCTGTGATGGACGCGTCCCTGAGATTGACGGACTGTTTTCCGGACTCGTTGGCATCTTGGATCTTGCGAAGCACATCGTCGTAGGTTAGGAATCGGTTACCTCTGGCGGGCGCCAGGGTAATAGGAGAGCCGTCTGTATCGACAACGTCGGTGCTGATGATGCTAGCAGCTCGCTTGACCGGAACGATTTGTCGGGCTCCTTGTTCGATAGCCTTCACGTCTTCGCGTGTATGGCCAGAGTAAGTTTCGAGAAGGCCGTTGGCAATATGAACTAGATTAAACGTCAGTCAAAGTTCGGCACAGTTCTGAGGAGCTGCTTACCCTTAGCTCTCATGAGATTGTGCATGTGCTGTGCATGCGAGAACATCAAGAAATCCTCAAACACTAGTTCTCTATCCACAGGTTCGTAGGATTCTAGTCGTTGGACTTTGCGAGGAAGAGTAAGGTCGAAACCGAGCTCTTCACGAGTAGGGACGGGAATGGCGGATACGTTTGGGAAGATGACGAAGGGTGTGTCGAGCTGGAGACTGTTGGAAACTGTGACTCGGCGCATGATCTGTCGGTTCGAGCTGGGAGCAGCAAGCGACTGTGTAGGAACCCGTTCCCACGCGGGCGGTCGGGTCAGTGGCTTCTTGAACGCAAAGTTTCCAAAGTTGAGGAAGCTGTTTGGACCGTTAGTGAGGCTGTTTTGAGTTCAACGGCCGAGAAAACCTACGTCTTGCTGGCGTCGACCCGAGTGTCGCCAGTGGTCGCGAAATGCGGGATGAAGTCTGGTGCAACGGGTTTGCTACAGTAAAATGTCAGTATTCTCAAGAGACGACACGATACTATTCACGATCAGGATAAATACTCACATTTGCATGGGCTCTTGCCCAAAGCCCCATTTGGGGACATCCTTCGCCGCCATCGCAAAGATGCAGCGCGGAAGAGAAGGTTTCTAAAGTAAACAAACCTCCCGCGATACCGGGGTAACGAAGCGAAGAGGATGCGAAAAGTGTGAAAGTAAAGCTTGCAGAAGCTGAAGACTGTGAAGAGAGTGTTTGCGAAGTAGCAGTTGAGTTCGTGACGAGATGGTTGGTGAAGTCAAGTGCTGGTGCGCAAAGAAGTTGGAGAGATTGTTTTGTTTTGCGGAATGAATTTCGATGTGGGCTGCGAAGATGGAGGCGCTTTGGGCTTGGAGCTCCAGACGCGTCTGTGGGCACCAGATAATTGTGGGGCGTGGATGGTCACCGCTTTCAGGGTCCACTGCTGGCAGCTGGCGAGCAGTGACGGCCTGTCAATGGGAAGTAAAAGTAAACAATTGAGACTTTACTTGCTGTGAGGCCAGCGATTCTTGTTGCTGTAGGCTATTGTTGTTTAATTGTGAATTCACTGGTGCTGGTGACATTTACGTTTGGTCCGAGTGATCATTGTCGAACCACAGACCACCACGATCTACCTCCAGTAAATGAGAGTGCCAAGGATCAATAGGGTCTAAAATGAGATTGATTTTACTCCATTATCACCAGTATTCATTATTTGACAGCGATTCCGCTATTATTGTGTATCAAGTCTCCCAATATCATCTCAAGACGTTGGAACATGCTTAAAGATGTAGATCAGAGTTAGACACTGACACAGTCGAGAGACCAATCACATTTCATGAATGACACTGAAGTGCCGTACCGCCTTGCCCTGAGCTTAGCTGTTATAATCTAATGAACTTCTCCCGTGCCGAGTAAAAGTATGTCTCTCTCTCCCGAGCCAGAGATGGTTCCCGTCTTTGCTCAAGCCATATGTTCGTTTCGAGTACCACAAACTAAACAATAGCATTAAATTTGACATCCGTGATCAAAATCCCTGGACTATAAGCGGGAACCAGCGGTTGTGCTAAACCAGGTCAGGGTCTTTTCTGCTTGACAGGAATGTTTGTTTACTTTCTGCGGGTCCTTTCAATGCAGAATGCGACAATTGTAGCAACCCAACACGAATGGGCTGGGACAGCCTTGGAAGACTACTGCATTGTTGCAAAAGTATATCTAGATATTTCGAATGCATCTTGCTATTAGTTACTCACTTAAAGTGTTCGAAATTGTGCCCCAAACTCTGAATCTTGGGTTTTCGCGCTCTAGCTCTAGGGTAGCTCGATTTGAGTCTCAGATCCGGCGGGGTGTGCGTCCCGCCCCGCCGCTCGCTCCATGCCACTCCATCCATTTGAGCCGCGTGCGCAGTGAACGTCATCCCTCCAGGCCACCATCTCCAACCCTTACAATCACCACCTCGACGACACCCATCGCGAATCTGCCCTCTACAACCTCCCACCACGGGCAAACCCTCTTCTTTTCAATCATCGACCTCTACAAACGTCAAGATGAACCGCCTCTTCGGCTCCAAGCCCGCGGGCCCCAAACCCACACTCAACGGCGCCATAACCAACCTCGACACCCGCATATCATCCCTCGACACCAAACTCAAAGCCCTCAACGCCGAGCTCGGCGCCTACCAAGAAAAGCTGTCCCGCATGCGCGACGGCCCCGGCAAGCAGGCGATGAAGCAAAAGGCCCTCAAGGTGCTGCAGCGCCGCAAGGCGTACGAGGCGGAGAAGGACAAGCTCGAGAGCCAGGTGTGGAACATGGAGCAGGCGAACAACATGCAGGACAACCTCAAGAACGTGATGACGCAGGTAGATGCGATGAAGACGACGAATAAAGAGCTGAAGAAGCAGTACGGCAAGATTGACATCGATAAGATTGAGAGGTTGCAGGATGAGATGGCGGATCTGATGGATGTGGGTAATGAGATTCAGGAGAGTTTGGCGAGGAGTTATGATATCCCTGAGGATGTGGAGGAGGATGAGCTGGATGCTGAGCTGGAGGCGTTGGGGATGGAGGTGGAGATGGAGCATGAGATGGGTGGTGCTGTGCCGGGTTTCTTGCAGGACGAGGTCGTGCCAGAGTTTGTGGACGAGCCTCCTCAGACTGAGGATAAGGTGAAGCAGGTTGCTGGTTAACGAACGGCGTTGCTGGATCATGGTGGACGTCTCGGAGAATTCTACATGGATTTTGCTTGTCACGGCGTTGGTTAGGTTTGTAGGGTCACCCAAGCACATTATTTTACTCTTCCATTATTGTTATGAATGCATTAAACGTGTATTTTCTACTATCGATCCCGAGTATACACAGGTGTCTACACGCACTTGAACACATAAAGCATCCAACAGCACTATCGCCAGTGGAACTCCTGGATCATGCAGTTATTCTCGATAAGACTCTGCCAAGCCGATATAACCCAACTCCCTCGCTCAAAAGAATGCTTTCTGATTTATACATTTATGCTTCAGAATTACAGATCTAGTCCACTGTTGCAAAGAATCGAACAGCTTCTTCTAATGCGGGATCCTTATTACAGAAATCCCATCCAACAATTGTTGGAGTTTGACTACAGCAAATAATTTTATGCGCGTCAAATTGTAGTTTGAAGACTCGTGCTGACGTGTTCTCGGCCGCGGCGATATGAGGATGATGGCCTGCATGATGGCCATTGTGGATTGGAGGTTGAGCTGGCTGTCCGGGAGGCGCACCTTGTGCATGAACAGCCGGAGGTTGCGTAGCTGGTCCTCCTGGAACGGGCACCGCATGAGGCGTTTGACCGGATCTCGGGTTGGTACGGCCGCTGTCGCTGGACATGTGAGAACTACCTGAACTCGACTGCTGTCGCATCGGCATCTGACGAATCTGGAGGTGAGCCAAAGCATCCGTTACCACCCCTCTAAGCTGGGCTCGGATCAAAGGCGACGTCTCGCGTTCGATGGCGGTTTGTAGGTAGGAATGGTGAGCCAGCGCAATCGGGTATGTTGCAAGCACATGTTGCAACGAGGTGGGCCCAAGGGGTACCGCTTGGTCGATTAGCACTTGATATGAGCTTGTCGTTCGCTGGGAGTCCCCGTGGTGATCGCGCAGCATTAAAGGCCCGAGAGGAGTGCCGCTCGTAGGCGGAGATCGAGGCGCGATTGTGGATGTATGTGAAGACCTACTAGCCAGAGATCCTGCAACCGCGACGTTCGACGTTGCGCTCGACAAGCTGGCCGCAGCCTCACGCTGGGCAGCAGCAGCAGCCTCTTCCTGTCGGAGATGAATTGCGGGCTTCCAAACCCCTTCCTTGTCGCGTCGCCAGATAATAATGCTCTGATCATAGGAACCAGATACAATGCGACCATACTTTCTGCCTCCACCACCTCCCGGGGGAACCTTGGCACCGTATGCCTGAACATCCTGAGGTCGAGAGCTTCCAGCATTTGCCCGACGGTCTCTCCTATGTCTTCGGTCCATGGCATTGTCAATCTCACCAGCCTCAAGCGCGCGCATGTACTCAGCATCAACCGCCTTGGCCTCCGCCCAGTCTTCTGCTGTGCTGTACGGCAGATCACCGAAACCCGCCTGGACAGTACGCACCAGGTGGGCGTGTCCTCGCAACTGAGCAACCTTAAGGCCAGTAGGTGCATCAAAAATGCAGACTTCCCAATCACTGCTGCCACTAACGATTCTGCGCCCATCAAACTCCACGCACGCGATTCCCTTGTCGTGTGCTGGAATCGTCCGGGTACAGGCCTGATCTGGCCAACTCCATATCTTGATATGCCTATCTCCCGATACGGAAACAATGGTCTCGTCACGAACTTGAATCGCGTTTACGGCAGCACTATGTCCATCTAGACGACCGATCATGGTGAACGGAGGCTTGACGGGAAGTTCATTGGAAAGGTCCGGCTCATAACCGTACCTTCGCAGGTGAACAGGTACTGGACCGACTAGATCACCGCCGTTGTAGCCCAAATCGCCATGTCTCAAAGGGCGCCTGTTGAAGATCTTGATCGTCTTATCCTTGGAAGATGTAACCAGGATTCTTTTATCAAAACGCACATTGAGAACGGACTCGTGATGAGCTCTTGTTAGTTTCTGCACCAGCTCACCAGTCGAGAACTTCCAGATGAAGACGTTGGAATCACTGCTTCCAGAAACAAGGAGATCTTCTTCAGGGTCAGCATCGAACTGGAGACACAGGACGGAGCCCATGTGTCCCGTCAGAGGTGGTCGGACAAGTCGGCGGGTGCGAACATTCCAGATACGCATGGTCTGATCCCTGCTACCGCTCACCAAGTAGTCTTTGTCGAACTGTAGAGCATAAACGCACTCTTGATGTCCTTCCTCGGGAAAATTGGGATGGGGAAATTGGAAAGTGGTGTATTTTCCAAGCTCCCAGTTCGCCTCCAACTTCCGTCGCATGCCGTACAGATAGCGCCAGTTGATACGATATCGTGATCGACCCACATCCCAAATGTACAATGATGAAGGTGGTAATGTGTTGGCTGCATCGGCTAGTGACATTGAAGCGAGAGAGGACTCGGTATCGTCGCTGGGTTCTTTACGCTTTCCTCTGCTGTCGAACGATGATGAAAGTGTTCGATCCAAGCTCGGATTTCTACTCGACAACCCATCAAGGTCCACCTCGCCCATGGGCACGATCGCAGGTCGACTCGACGAGAATGAGGAAGAAGGGCTACCGAACATGCTTCCACCGGCCAAGGTCTCGCTAGGTCCAGGCGTGCGGTCACCATCTGTCATCTCGAGGTCCTCATCCGAATTGACAACGGCACGAATCTTGTTGGGGTGGGCGTCCTGCATCGACTGAAGTCGGTTAAGGTGACGAATTGAGTGATCGAGGCCGTTGTTAACCTTAGTCTCGCAGGCTTCGATCTCGCTCATGATGGTCTTCCACCCCTCCATATAGTATAAACGCTCCCATAGCTTTCGGTCAAGTGCCAACTCGTACCAGGCGCGGCATGTCTGCGTGACGCTCACGAGGGAAACAGGATCGAGGAAACCTAGAATCTTAAGACAAATCTCGGCGGGAAGGTATTGAATAAAATCGATGTAAAGTCTTGGATTCAATCGGTGAACGATCTCGGCGATTACGGACGTGGGCAAGTTGTCGAGTAACGCCATGGTCAGTTCTATCAACAGTAAGCAAATAGACCCCAGCAATCTGATCAACACAACGTACCTGTTCTGACCTCGAGGGGCAGAAGCGACGAGTTCGCGACAAGCCATGTGCTCAAGTCGGAGGGAGAGCGCAGCGTAGCAAGAGCAGTCGATAGAGCGGTCGATAACTCTTGATTGACAGTTGGAGTGAGAGGATCTTCGGAGTAACCCTCGTCGGGTTGATGTGCAGGTGAGAAGGGATCCATCGAGGACAAGGCCTCGTTCTTATTCGACATTGGGAACTTCGAGGCCTCGGGCCCCTGTTGATGTAGCAATTCGCGATGATCTAGCGGCAAGACAGTTGAGCGCAAGACAGCGGTCAGAGATGGAAATGGGATGTGATGCGTATGCGTGGGCGGCGTAAGCTTGGCGGTTAAAAACGCTGAGATGATAGTGTCACAACAGAACGTGCACAGCAGGCAACAAGGAGACGTCGAGATGTCGTGACGCAATCGAAGGAAGGGGGTTTGAGTTAAGGTGCTAATACAAGAAGTAACAAGTTTATCGGCAAGAACAAAGACTCGAACAAAAGCGGGTGACGATATGTGACCAAAACAAGTAAAGAGACGGAGACATTCAAGGATGGTAAATGGGCGGGCGGGATGGAGTGCTCGGGGCGGGAAGATTAGAGAGAGCCCAGTGGAGGTGGAGGCTCCGAATCAAGGTCCAGGCCACGACCAGACCAAACAAGTCCCCGCTCATCTGAGATCTGGCATTGGCTGTTGCCCTGGAATGGCCTGGGCTTGCACTCGCTCTGCCGAGAGGGGACGGCAGCCACAAAAGGGAACCCTTCCCAACTGGCTCTAGCGGTGGAGGAATGGCTGAGCGCTTATGCAACTGAAGCAGCCCTACAGATTTATTTGAAAACATTCGTGAAAATGAGGCGATATTAAAACATCGTTTATACCAGTATCTGACTAATTCTGAACATCAGACGCTTTCTTACAGTAAAAACCTCTGCCAATGTGCCATCATCTCGATGTGCCAAAATCTACAGGGCAGTCTAAACTGTATCTCGATTTACCCACTCATATACGGGAGGCGTCGACGATAAACTTCGGGTAGGGCGGTCTAAACATCGACACCAATATCAGCATCTGTCAGCATTACATCAATACTCTCAATCGCCTTAGTCAGGCACCAGCCGGCATTCCTTACAACTGAGTTGTTCTATTGCTGAACATCATTGCCAGAATCTTTTGTGAACAGTGAATAGGGTACTGCGTGCTTCTTGATGTCGCGTGACCAATTCTGCCTTGCAGCTTTATAACTTTGGCACATCATCACCATATGTACGAGACTGACCAATCATCTTGTGTGATAACTCGTCTAGCTTGACTTGAAACTTCAGCTTTCAATTCGACCGATACTCGCGTTTGTAGTAATGGACTTCAAGTTTCCCTTGTAACTTGGAAAAACTACCCTAATCGAATACCGGCCGGTGCGCCCCATTTCATCAGCTGAATATAGACCCTAATCTCCTCAGCCTTTCTATATTCCTTCTTCTTCTTATATATACGAACCAGGTTTCCTGCAGTTTGTAATGTAAGGGGATGTTTATCCCCAAGTATTTTCTTCCGCACCTCTAGCACTTGCTCTCCTGTCTCTTTGGCTTTCTCCAATTGTCCTAGACCTTCATATATAGTGGCCAACTCTCCTTTGACGAACAGCGTGTCGGGGTGTTCTTCGCCTACTTCTCTCATCTTTATGTTGAAAAGTTGCATTGCAACCACCTCTGCCTGTCGCCAATCGCTCAGTCGTACATATATAGTTAGCAGGCTGTGCATGATGTGCAGCGGAGCAACATACTCATCCCCCCTGTGGTTCTTGCTTGATTTGAGGGCCTGTTCTATCAGCTGCTTGCTCTCTTTTAATCGGCCCCCAAGCATGTATGCAAGCCCCAGGTTCGCCATGATTTCCGGCGCACTGTAGTAGGTTTCACCCCATACCCTCTCTCTTATTTCTAGCGCTCGCTGAGAAAGTAAAGCCGCCTTGCCCCACTGGTAATGACTCAAATACTCCTTTGATAGAAGAACCATGCAGGACAGGGTGGACCGATGCTCGTGACCAAGAGCCACCGTTTTGGTCTCAAGTAATTCTTCTAGGAGTTTTAAGGCTTGAAGACGGAACCCCTGACACCTGAGAACTTGCCCTAGGAGTTCCAAAGCATCGAGAGTGCGAATATTGTCACCCCCTACTGTCTTTTGATAGCCTGCAACCACTCTGCGAATCATGTCTTCGGCGGATTTAAATCTCCCTTGTTGGAGAAGAACTTCACTTAGCGCTGTCAATATATGAAGGGTTAGACCATCCTCGGAGCCGAACACGGTCTCTGCCGCATAGAGTTCTGATCGTAGACGATCTTCATCAGATTTTCCGTGGCAATACTCCTGTGGGGCTAATATAGAGCTTGAGGGTGGATGAGCCGGGCTTATTGCTGATGTATCAGAAGCCGGGAGCTGAGCTGGAAGAGCTCGATGGAAAGGCGCTGCTGGACTTTGTTCAGTGAAAGTACTGCCGCGGCCTAAAATCGCCCCTCGTACGGAAAGCGCGGGACTAGATGCCATTGGACTCTGAGCTACTGGTGTGATGCCACCGGAAGAGAGGGCAAGACTCATGTCTGATAAGGCTGGACTGTGAGCGAGGGAACCTCTTTCAGAAACGGTTCTGCAATCGATTGCGGATGGGGTAGCTTCGCATCTAAAGTCAGCTGAATTGACTCTATGGCTTTGCGGATTTGACTTACATGCTGCAGGACTCGGAGCATACAGATCATTTCGTGGGACATTATTTCTGTCCATCCACCGGTCGATTTTGTTCGCTTCAACCTCTCTGCCCCTGACTGTGAAACGAAGCTTCCTCTTGTCAGTCTCGAGAATCTCTCTCTGCTGATGCTTCCGGACAATGGCTGCCATCTCGACTTTCTTGATATTCTTGTCTCTGCCCCATTTGGTTATACGGCTTTGATACTGCCGTGTTCTGACACATACCAGTCAGTCCTGAGGCTGACTTATCAATCTAAGAATGAAATCACGTACTGAGCGGTGAAGCCGAACTCCTCCTCGATCATTGTTTTCACTTTCTCAAGTGGCAACTTATATGTCTCATAGAGTTCGAGGATTCGGTCTTTAAATGGTTCCCAGTCCCCATCACGTAGAGTCGGGGCCTTTTTCTTTCTACTTCTTCGAGGAGGGCCCATTGAAGGAGCAGGAGTAATTTGGGTAGCCCTCAAATCTTCCATGTTGTCAATAGTGGAGGTATCTTGGGGTCTGTGAATGAAGGAGTCACAAGCAGGATCGACTGGAGCACGTGAATGGCTCTGATCTACGACGACTTGTCCATCAAGAGCCTGTTCGTGCAGTGCCAGGATATTACGACTAGGAGGTGGGTGAATGCCAGGAAACTGCTGACCAATATTGTCGAATTCACGCAAGGCGTTTACTTTGAACCGCTCCATGGTGAGTATTGGTAACACTTCGCAACAGCCTTATCAGCCGTCGAATCGACCAGAGCTGTCCGAAAAGATGTTAAATAAAAGATAGGTAGAATGAATAGAAAATCAGGAGCGAGAGTGGTGTGGTGGATAATTTTAAAGAAGGAAAGGCGAGAAAAAGGCAACAGCCTGGGGAGCCCAGCATGGATGGAATAGTCAGCCTCATCACATTTTACAAAACTACTATTTTGCGGTGAAGTGGGGGGGAAACAAAACAACAATTCTTGAAATCCTTGTACGCTACAGGACTTTCATCCAATCGTCGAGGAGAATGCAAAACTACAATTTTGAGCTGGGACATGGGTGCCATGCAGGCAACCAACAGCCACTAATAACCACGGTCAGCAAGCAGGAAAGCCCAGAACCTTTGTCCTAAGTGATAGAAAAGATTAGGCAAGTTTACTGAGCCTCGAGGTCGGTTTATTTTGACACCTTGATGTAATGCCGTGGTCATCATGCAAGGAAGTCATATTCACTTTCACGGCTGCAAAACTACTATTCTTTGAAGTGTTATTAAAGGGCTACATTTTCTTTGCTTCATCAAAAAATTTGTAAAATTTCACTTCGCATTGTTCTCAATCACAAGTTCAAGGAACCTAAATCATTCTATTTATTTTAGCAAGCCTGTACAAAACCAAACCACCTCTCACAGCGAAACAAACAGGATTTTGCGCCATGACTCAACCAATGCTTCCCGCTGAAGTCGTAATCACCATCATATTCGGCGTCCTTCAATTGATTGTGGGACTTGTGTCACTCTGGCAGCAGCACTACTTTCGTTGGACCGCACGTAAGTCGTATATCACGTTGTAGAATTACAAAACGCTGACGAGATAGGAACTCGCAGACGTGGGAGAAGAAGAAATACTTTCTGAGATTTTGACAAGGGCGAAATCCTGAAGGCTTGGCCAAGTTCTGGCATGGCAGTATCTGGGTATGAGATGAAGAAACCAAATCTAAATGAAGGGCACTGGTGATGGTAGAGTAGACCATCTTCACCTGTGATGATGGGCAAATCAGTCATTTTTTAGGATCTTACAGTATGAGCTTTTTGCTGTAGCAACTTTTCAGCAATCTTGAGTTAATGTGCAAGTTATGAGCTAGGTGTGTAGTTTGCAATTAGTTTGCAATTGAGACTATGGCTGATAGCTTAAATCAGCACAGAGAACTTCATAGACCATCTTCAAGACTACATATGCTGGCGTTACTTAATATCGAATATAGTATTTTAAGTTGTGATTATCTATTTGAATCAGGTCATATCACGTCATCTAATCGTACAAGTGTCCGCCTTACTCCTCAGAAAATCAACGAAAAGTCTTCCATGTCTAATGGAAACTCCTCCAAAATCATATTCCAATCCGGAACAGCAACCTCACTCCCACTCTGCATCCCCTGCCCATTCTCCCCCTGCATTTCCATCCGCTGACTCTCATTCCACTGCACACCCGCACCCTCCCTCTCAACCCGCTGCATCAACAAAAACGCCCTCTCCCTCAACGTCGTGAGCACCGTCCACTTCAGCCCACTCAGCGGCTTATTCTCCTTCGATTTGAAATTCTCATGCTGCAGCTCCACGGCTGCAAAGGCTCGCTTTGCTAGTTCTCCGCGCGGACAAACGCACAGGTGGCGCAGGATGAAGAGCATTATGTGGTATTGCGGATACGAGCGGGCGAGCCACTGGTAGGCGACTAGGTCGTCGTCTTGCCACATGAGGTTGGAGAGCTCGAGGAGTTCGACTGCTTCGGTGAGTTCGGCTTCTGTGGCCATTGGGGGTTGGTCATCGGGGGAGCGGAGGATCTGCCATTGACGACGAGACACTACGTCGACTTTGCAGAGAATGAGACGTGCGGTTCGGATCGTCATTCTTTGTTCTGGTATCACGGGGTTGCAACGCTGCAGAATTCCTTCAACCTTATCAACGGCATCTTTGATGACTCGTCTTCGTACATCTTCATCTGGTATGCCATCCGCAGAGCAACTCATATGGAAGAGGTGAGCCCAAGCTTGAGATGATTGGTTGCAGCACAGCTGTAACGTCATCCGTGTCCAATCCGGCCTCGACGGTGGAAGCTCTTTCATCCCCGGAGAAAGATCGCTATCGTGTAAGTTTCGCGGTAGCTCAACACTGGGAACGGTAGTAGCGGCTGGGTTCTGTAGTCCATAGTCCTCAGCGCCTCTTCCATCTCGCTCTTGGAAATACCACCATATTCGACGTCGCAATTCTGACTCAAAGGGTGAAAGACCAAGCTTGCTGCCGTCTCTGTGCAAACCTATTGACTGAGCGGCTCGAAGTGCGAGGCCATTCATGATCCAGACAGCTCGACATGAGTTATGGACCCGCATGGCGGCCTGCGTACGGTCAGTGAAAGCTTTTGATTTTCATTAACGAACTCACCCCATAAATAGCCATTGCCTGGAGAGAAGCGATTGTAGGATTCTCGAGGAAGTCTGACTGGGCCATTGATTGCTCTAGACACATCCTGTACCGAAGGAGAGCTTGTTTTTTGTCTTCACCAGTAATGTCGAGCGCGTCATCGGAGGGCGTGGCCGTGACAGCAGCGAAATAGATGGCAAAGCAAAGAGCCAAGTTTTCGTTCGAGGCTTTGGTCGGGTCACCTATGACTGTGTAGAGTGTTGTCTCGGCGGTAGGGATGTGCAGAACCTTGACGTAAGGATCAACACCATCGACAAAGACTTTCCATAGTCGAATGGCCACACGTCTTTGAGGATGGTAAATGGCGGTAGATACTGATGCTATTCCGGCCGATAGCCATCCCATGGGATTCAAGTGACATATAGGAGAGTCAACTTCATGAGGCGGCTCCTCTCTGGGGGTTGCCAAGGCCATTCGCACATCATGTTCCTGGGCGTGTGTTAGTGCAAGATCCATAAACTTCTGGAACGTCTTTACCTGCTCGATGACTCGGGAGAAGAGAACTTCATTTACATAGTGACTACTTGTCCCTTTATTCAGCAACAGACCCTCACGAGAACCTCTGACCCTCTCTCTGGTCTCAGCATCCGTAGCTGTACTAGCTGGTGTTGGAACACTATTCGCAGACGTCACTGAACCTGCAGACACCGTCGGTTGCGGCGACACATCTTGTCCAGCCTTGAACGCCTCAATCGTCTTCTCCATCTGCGAAATCCGACTTGCAACATCATTAATCGTCGTCTTCTTGGCCCGTCTCGCAGGCAGGCCAGCAGGTGGATACGAGCACTCAAAGCCAGACCGAACGCACTGCGAACAAGGGAAATTCTTGTCACAGCGAACTTTTCGGCGGTGACATACGGCGCACGACCGAGTCCGGGGCCGAGAAGACATGATGTGGTATTACACCGACCGATTGATTGACAGGCCGAGAGCTGTGGTATTTTACGGAGGAGGATTCGGTCTTTGTAAGCTGAGATCACCGGGGATTAACTCCGCGACCGGGATATTCGAGATGGTGAGATCAATGACGAGCTCTCATTCGCTGTTGTCGATCTTATCGACAAACTAGCGCCGGCTTCGGTGGAGATAGAAGATCCGAGGCCGAAGGAGCGAATCAGAGACTTGAGCTCGGCTGCAAACAGTCCACCATTTTCGGCCTTTGGAAGTCTCGCGTCGCGAAATTAAGTGACTTGAACGAAGGACCGTGAATATGGAGCTCCATAAGGCGTGCTATGGACCCCTTTTAGGCTCAGATCTGCCGTTGCATCTGGGACTTATAAACCTCGACGCCCATGTCAACCTAACCAGAGCCTCAAACTCAAAGCAACCCTCGATCAGATAAAACAGCATCTCTCATCATGGCTGCTCAGCAAACCACCGCGCCTTCGTCGCCTCGCAATTCGGAGCTCACGCTTCAGAACCAGGTTGGTTACAACAACGAAAAGTCTGATCTTGAGGAGGGTACCACACAGCCTGAGCCTGCGGCTGCACCAGCTGGAAGTGGCGCTCCTGATGGTGGTCTCACAGCCTGGCTTGTTGTTCTTGGCGCATGGTGTACCTCGTTTTGCAGTTTTGGCTGGATCAACAGTAAGTATCATGTTGCGTATTTTTGTGGCGTCGATTAAATTATTCTAGGTGTTGGCGCTTTTCAGGAATACTACCAGAATGATCTTTTGAAGCAGTACTCGTCGAGTACTATCGCATGGATCCCTTCGCTGCAGATCTTCTTCATCATGGGAATGGGCCCGATTATCGGAAAGCTTTACGATAGCTATGGACCTCGGTGGTTGATTTTTGTTGGAAGTTTCATGCATGTCTTTGGTATCATGATGGCGTCGATTAGTACCGAGTACTACCAGATTCTTCTGTCTCAGGGTGTATGCTCTGCCATCGGTGTCTCAGCAATCTTCCAGCCAGGTAAGCCTCATCCTTACCCTTACATTGAAACACACTAACATACTCAGCCCTATCGACGATTCACGGATGGTTTGACAGCAATAGAGGAGCTGCCTTTGGCATCCTGTCAACCGGCTCGAGTATCGGTGGCGTCATCTTCCCCATCATGGTAACCCGCCTCATCAAGCAAGTCGGATTCGGATGGTCCATGCGAATCTGCGCCTTTATGATCCTCGGACTCCTCATCATCGCCAACCTCACAGTCAGATCGATTCACCCTCCCAACCCTCAGAAGATCAGCCGCGCCCAGTTGGCCAGGCCATTCCATGAGCCAGAATTCATCTTCTGTATGCTTGGATTCTTCTTTTTCACCTTCGGAATCTTCATTCCTATCGACTACCTGCCCGTTCAGGCCCTTCATGCTGGCGTGGACCCCAACCTTGTTCAGTATTTGATTCCCATCCTCAACGCAGCCAGTCTTTTTGGCCGGATTGGTTCAGGAATTCTTGGTGATAAGATGGGTCGTTACAACATCTTTATTATTGTTGGTTTCCTTTCTGGCCTCTGGATTCTTGCCCTTTGGATCCCATGCAACTCTCAGAACGGCATCATTGCCTTTGCCGCGCTGTTTGGTTTCTGCTCTGGCGCATACGTCTCTTTGATTGCACCGCTCGTTGCTCAGATCTCACCTCTTGCAGAGATTGGATTCCGTAGCGGAATAGTCTTCTTTGTCTCCTCGATCGGTGGACTCACCACCAACCCTATCAACGGCGCCATCCTCGAGAAGCCAACAGGCTGGCTTGGAGTCAAGATTTTTGCTGGTGTCTTTTGCCTGACTGGCACGGTTTTCATCCTTGCTGCGAGAATCCATCGTGTTGGATGGAAGATCACAGCTACCTTTTAAAAGTGTATTGGACGTTGTTTTGATTTTTGGGGATATACCAGGATGCATTGCATTGTTTCATGAAAAAATGAAAGCCGAGAGCTTTACATGTCACCACTCAACCGCCTTAGACTTCTTATGATAGACAGACAAGAAATAATAACCTGACTGCCTTTGCAGCTTTTGAACAACCCAAGCCTATATCACGAATGCAACGCATGATATTTACCTTTTGATACGTCGAGGTTTCTCCTCAAGCGAGAGACATCATAGCCAAGGCCCTCATCATTTAGTCTAGGCCTCCACTATCAGTTTCGTCTGACGTCTTTCATCAATTCTTAGCTTACTTTATGACGAGGTCTGTCATCTAACTACTGTTTAACAAATTGGGTGACTCCAATCAAGGGTTTGTTATTAGGCTATAGCAAGTCTGAGTAAGATACACGCAGCCTCGATAACTCCAAAGGAGATGACTCGTCGTTAGATCCAACACTTGGCGCATGATATTCAATCCTGACGCATGCCAAGGCTGATCTGTGCATCTTTATTCCTAGTCTCTAAAATCTGCGCTGGCAAGTGGATCAATGTTGCACCGTCTCTCAATTGCAGTTCCATTCATCTTTGTAAACGCAATCGAACTCACATGAATACATGTACACGTCACTCATAATATTATATAAAACTCCCAGACGTCATCTTCAAATTTATAATAAAACTCTCCCTGAACCTCGGCTTTCATATTGTTGGGCTGAAGGATTGTTTTGCTGGGACCGCTCCAATACCCAAAAGCAGCAATTCTTCCGCATAAACGTCCGACGGACTTTATACGCGGTCCCCAACATAGAATATGACAGGCCAAAAATCCATGTCAGCAATTGACACCAATTGACACATTACTCGATTCTTTAAACTAAAAAACTTAGTTTATTTTAAGGAGATATATAAAATGTCCTTGCCTCCCTCTTATGGATCTCTCCCTTGTCAATTCCTCGTCAGCACAATCGATACACTTTGTATTTCTAAGAATTCTTTTATAATATAGAAAATGTCGGGCAAAAAACTTCCTGAGCTTGCGGGCTTCAAAACCATCAACGCCAAACTTCTCGTCAGCGAGGAGACTGGAGAGAAAGCACCCGCGGATCATCCAGCTGCTGTTGTCATCTACGGCTGGGGCGATGGACTTGCCAGACATGTTGGGAAATACGCTGAGGGCTATCGCGCTCTCTTCCCTCACTCTAAGATTCTTATCATTTTGAGTCCTATTTCCGACGCCATGTTCACAGGTCTTGAGACGCGAACACGCGCTATGCAACATGTTATCGATAACCTCGATGGCCTTCTCGATGAAAAGACAGCGCCTATTCTTATTCACAGCATGTCCAACACCGGTGCCATCAGCTACGCCACTACGCTCAAGGCTTTCAGGGATCAGAACGGTAGACAGATGCCTCATCAGCTTCTTGTTCTTGACTCAACGCCTGGAAACCCTTTTTGGTCGTGGGAGAGACTAGGCCAATGGTCGCACGCCATGGCCCTCGGCACCGCCAAGTTCTTCCCCTGGCCTTTTGTCATCACCAAGGGCATCTGGGGTTTTGTTCTTACTCTGGACGTTGTTATCAAGAAGCTCACAGGCGGAGAACCTTCTGGTGCTTTCGCCCTGCGAGTTGTGGATGATACAAACTACGAGACGCTAGACTCCAAGCGATTGTATCTGTATAGCAAGGAGGATCAGATTATTTCTCATATGGATATTGAGGGCTATATTGCTGAGTCTCAGCAGAGAGGCTATGAGACGAGACAGGAACTGTTTGTGGATACTGACCATGTTGGACACATGCGTGAGCATCCTGAGCAGTACTGGAAGGCTATCTCGGAAGCTTGGAAGTGGAGTAATGACGAGTAAAAGGGTTATTGGGTTTGATTTTGTATGATTTGTTGTCATGACTAGCGTTGTTATACCACCAGAATAGATCTTGGTAATTCCAGTTTCAGTATTTAACGTCTTTTATAACAAGAATATCTAATGCTTCCACTTCCGGCTGGAACTTTCACGGATCAAAGCTCGACAGTAGCCGTATAGCCTTGGAACGCACCCGGAGGGCTTCGATGACCAGCAATTTCAGCCTTCTCAACTTCATCCCTGATTTGTTGAACCTCCTCCTTAGAGAGCTTCACATCCAGGGAACCCACATTCTCCTCCATATACTTAATCTTCTTCGTTCCAGGAATCGGGATAATATCCTCGCCCTGCGCCGACAACCAGGCGAGCACCAACTGACCCGACGTGCAGCCCTTCTTATCTGCAAGTGTCTTAAGGCGTTCAACGAGAACTAGGTTCTTTGGAAAGTTCTCAGGGCTAAAGCGAGGCAGCATGCGGCGGAGGTCGTTGGGCGCAAAGTCATCACTGCTCTTGATCTGACCTGTCAAGAAGCCACGACCTAGAGGCGAGTATGCGAAGATGGTGATTCCGAGCTCGCGGCATGTGGAGAGTATGTCGTGTTTCTCGATATCCAATGTGAAAGGGTTGTACTCAACCTGGATGGCGTCGACCGGGGTGACAGTGTAGGCTCGGCGGATGTCACTGGCGGCGCATTCGGAGATGCCAATGGCTTTGATTTTGCCGTCTCTGATACGCATACATCAGCATGTCCGAAGATATGAAGGACTTTGGGTAGTGTGGCTTACTTCTTAGCCTTGGCCATCAGCTCCATCGTCTTTTCGACAGGAACCTTTCTGTCAAGACGATGAACATAGTAAAGGTCAACGTAATCAACACCCATCTTCTGTAAACTGCCCTCGAGGCACTCATTGAAGAACTCAGGGCTATTGTCAGCCCAGAAGGTCCATTCACCTTTGTCATTGACTCCAGTTTTTATGGCAAACTTTGTGGCAAGGAATATGTCAGCACGACGCTCCGGGTGCAGCTTGAACCACTTTCCGATCAGGACCTCGCTGTCGCCGTAGGCATTGGCCGTGTCCCAATTCGTATAGCCGAGCTCCCAGGCGCGGTCCAGAACTGCAAGCCGTTCCTCATCATTTCTGAGGGAGTGAGTGTCAGTACGAAGGCTATCCAGTTATGGGATAGGGAGTTTACTCAATGGGTCCATAGGCTACACTCAGACCCATCAATCCGAAACCAAGAGCAGGTATTTGTCGTCCAATCTTGCTGAAAGGTTTAGTGGGAAGAGTTGCTGGAGGCGCCATGATGATGGAGGAAAATACTACGTAATTAGTGAGTCAGGAAAGGAGAGTTGGTAATTAGGAAAAGAGTCGTGAACCAGGTACCAGCAGAATTTATATCCCCTCCGTCTCTGTCGATCTCGAAACTGGTGCTTCAGGGCATTGATTTGATTTCCTTCACCGACTTACATATAAGATGGTCCCTATCACCGAGAATTAACCCCGAATATATGCAATGCATAGTGGTAGTCTGGGGAGGGGAGCTGTGTCTTAAGTCCGAACAATCAAGCTTAACTCCAGCTTGTAAGTGAGGATCTTGCAACATCCAATGCTTTCCAAGCCAAGCCAAGCAAATTCCTCTTCGAGCTCCGCTGACTTCCGCATAAGAGTGACGATTTGTATCTCAGAGGTTAAATAGTTTAGACCATCCTTAGCTTCTTCGACGGCCAAAGTTTCTAGATCTCGGAAACGTGACATTTTAGTAAAGACTTTAGTGCTAACAGGGCCAACATCTCGGAATTTCATTCTCTTTAGCCTTCTAATTGGCAGTGATCGTTTAACGTCACACAGAGTCACGCCAAGCACCATAAGGCTATCGGGATATCTCTGTCAGGTGACCGAAAACCTTGCTTTTGGTGTTTGTGGCAAGGCTGTCACTCAGCAAGCTGTGATATGGTTGAGGGTTTAAAAGAGGCTCCAGCCCGAAGGCACAAAGGTAGATAACACCAATAAATACTTTTTGCCTTCACTGTTACCTAAGATCTTGCTTTTGTCTGAAAAGCTAGATATCCTGACGACAATGATGTGCAAATATCAGAGATGCCAATGTGGCTGCGCAAGGTGAATATGTATTGATACGCGGCACTACTGTATTGGCCTCTGTAGCATTTTCTAATAGTGGTGGTGTTAGCATGGTATCAGCATAAAGGCGCCTTTCTTATCATCCAGTCTAGACAGCAACAGGGAGCCTTCTGGCCTATTCTTTGTGATCTTTATGCATTTCAAATCGATCTCCCAATTCTTGAAAATCTTGCAGTCTTCCAACAGATTTAGTTGTGGTGTGCTGTCTTGACATGGATAAGCTGCAGCCACAGCTGATATGACCTTCACAGATCCGTCCTATTGGTAGTAGAGGGTGGTTGCCTATCATGAGACTTATGCACTTCTTCATTCAGCCGCTCTTTCTCTTACCCCTCATCTGGAACCTGACGACTTCCTTGAAATCTTCCAGCTCCCAGCTCTTCCCAAGCCAATGTTTTGTCATCTTCTTTCCCCTCCTCAAAACGATGCTTCGCATACCTAAGTCACAGGCCATTAGACTTTGACATAGGACGTCAAAATAAACTCAGCAAAGGTCTTTTAAGCTTGGTAAAGGCTATCCTAAACTTAGGAAAGTGCACCCCAAACTTATGCTAATTTACCTTAGCCTTTTTGTCATTCAGGATCAAGGGTCCTGCGTTTTCTTCCCTCCTCAAGGCAGGTCTCAGCAGTTGCTCCACGACGAATTTGATCCTGCACACCATGGACGACACAAATATTCCTACGATTTCAGGTGACGATGAGATTTCGGGTCATTACAGCCTTGAGGACTCCACGGACCTTGCGGACCGTTTGAGATTTTCTTTTGTCGAAGGCGCAGATGATCATCAGATATTCCTACCGTTCTTAAGCTTGTCGCGAATCTTGACCAAGACGCGCATTGAGGCCCATCTAAAGAAACAGTACGGAGATCTTGCATCACAATATGCAGATCAAATTGGGCCGCTATATGCTGACGAGGCTGACGTACCCAAGGATAGGCCTTTTCCAATGTCTTTAGGTGAACACACGTACCTGAGGATTTTTGCAATTCTGGTCATGATTGAAAAAGAGGGGGAAGTTCACAGATTTCTCCAGCATCGAGTCTGTGACGGTGACCTTCCCCTTACTTTGGATATAAGAAAGAATGCTGTATTTCGAAAGGGAGGTGATGAAGATCCCCTTGGCTGCTTCAGAAGATTCCGTCCCTATCAATTGGAGTCTTTTGACCTGTTGCAATGGAGGTTCACAACCCCTTTCTTTCATGCTCCTACAGACAATAACCGGATATTTTATCACGATTTCCACCGGAGAACAATCTTGCCTTGGTGTCGTCTCGATGAGTCTGGGGTTGGGCTGGAGAAACTTGGCCGAAATATAATCCAAGGTGCTTATGCAACAATTAAACCTATCGTGATCGACAAATCGTCTCACGATTTTGACAAGGTCCTCCAAGGGGTGGTGAGTTGGTCAAAATTCTAGCGACGTGCGAAATTGAGATGAGCTGACAGGTCACTGCTAGAAATCTGCCGCAAAAAGTGTTTTTGCACTCAAGACACTTAGAGTTGAGGACCGTTATGAATACGACAACGAAGTTGAGGGACTTCAACGATTCAACGGTGTAGGCCATCGGCATATCATTCAACTAATGGCGACCTTTGAGCTACATGATAGATATCACATGATATTACCGTGGGCTTCTTGCAATCTCTACGATTTCTGGAAATCTGACCCTTTTCCAAAGACTGGAAAACGAGATCTCGACGTCATCCGTTGGATGTCTACACAAACTCTCGGTTTGCTTTCGGCCTTGGATGCTATTCACAATCCCCAAGGCGCACAGTTTTATGGCCGGCATGGGGACATTAAGCCCGAGAACATCCTTTGGTTCGAAATGGATGATGAACCTCATGGCTTACTTGTTCTGGCAGATCTTGGGCTTACCAGATTTCACCGGGAGCGTAGCAGGTCTTGGACAAGAAACACTAACGTCATGGGTTACACGGTCACCTATGCGCCTCCGGAGTTGGATATTCAGGATGGATTTATGTCGAGATCTTCTGATACATGGTCTTTCGGTTGTGTTCTACTTGAGATGGTCTGCTGGCTCGTAGGGGGCTGGGACCTTTGTGAGGTATTCTCATATGCTCGACTGACAGAGGACGCTTCGGGTCTCCTGAAAACTGATAAGTTTTTTGCAATTACCAAAGGAGAGGACGATGTGTTGCACCGGTTTACAGTCAAGCCACAAGTATTAGATGTAAGTCAGTGTGGAGAGGGACACCAGGAGCTCCAGAAAGATTTAGACGAGCAGCTGACACGCTTCGTTAGTTCATCCAAAGGCTTGATCATCACGAGTCATGCACAAACTACGTTCATGATATTCTGGACATCATCGAGAAATACATGGTTGTTGTACAAACGAATGATGTGAAAAGAGCCTCCACAAGCGAGCTGCTCGAGAAATTTAAAGCTGTCGACCAGAGAGTCCAGGATGATGCGAAGAGGGACTACATCGCGAAGCCTACGCCTGGCCCCCGCAAAACACAAACCAAAGCGCTTGCCATAGTCGAGGCACATGTGGTCGAGAGAAAATACACATATTCACGCGATAGTCGGTTAAGACTTACGCAAAGGTTCGCAGACCGTAGCCGCCAGAGTCAGCGTCAATCTATACGAATCCGGCAGATTGACGACGCTGGCCTGGTCAACAGAGAGCCGCATTTGATGATGGGCAGAAAGAAGGAATTCCCACCTGAAAGGCTCTTAAATGCTGACAAGAATAGTGACTTAGCGGCTGCACAGATGATTGAAGCGAAGGTCTTGGACGTCTTGGACGATATTTTTGATGACACCTTGGTCAAGTTTCTGGTTCGATGGCAGGTTCCAGTTTGCGTACAGGAAGAACTCGACGGCAGCACCGATCTTGGCCCAATCCTCACTATAACAGGAACTTCTTCAAATTCCTTGGCGATTTGCTGCCGGGAATATGTTTCAGAAACCTGGAAAGATAACGGTACAGTCTTTCTGGAAGATCTAGAAACATTTCTCGCCCAAAAACTTCCTTCGATAGGTGTGTTCAATCTCTCCTCGTTGACAGTAGTGATGCTGACGACGTCAAGCCACCCAAGTTCCGAAAGAACCTACAGTCAACCGGCCATTGTTCATGAGCGGGGACTCTGAAGATACTGCAGTAGTGCTCTTCAAAGGATCTCGCACTCAGATATCAATTTTCTCACAGTTTCTTTGCTGGATCGTAGCGACCTTCCGACTGCCCGAGCCGAAAATGACTACCAGTTCTTCGGTCAGCTTCCTACATGTACCAAGTGTCAAGTATAACGTCTACGAGTTTCATATTTCACTGGAAGAGCTGAAACCTCTAGATCACGGCACATCCGGGACGTGTTGGACCCCTCTATTTCCTTCCACGGTCATGGCCGAGGGTTTTGAGGTTCCAGTTCACCCAGGGGTCTTTGGCTTGCAGATGCCCTTTGATGCGATGCTTGAACTGGCTGAGATAGTTTGTGATGTCAGCCTAGAGGATGATAAGGGCACTGCAACTGGTATCTACCTCTATGGCATCTCCTTTTTCCTCTACCCAACCTCTTACAAAACGCATCCCGGTCATCAGCCGGTCATCCAATGGCATTTGAAAGAGAAGACCTTGGATGACGATGGAGATCGAGACCCAGCCATCCCCCCCGACAGAGATGGCGGTCCGCTGTGGATCAGAATTCCGGTCTATGAGACTCTGAGAACATCAATTACAGTTTTGGGATACTGTGATAAGGCTCTGGTGCAGTTGGGTACCGAGTCCCGCCGAAAATATCACAACGAGCCACAATACTCACATGCAGAGGTCGAAAGACCCAACATTGAGGCATCTTTGAACTCACTTACTCTAGGCTCTAGCGCAGGAGGTGCTAAAGCCGAGGGCACCATAGGTTTCAAAATGAGGAAAGGCCATTGGCGCGAGCTTGAAGAGAAGAAGGAATTAAGCTACAAACAAGTCCTGCGGATCTCACAGAATAAGCCAGTCATCATCTATGACACTCAGCGTCAGAACGAACGCGCCTGGATGGTCTCCGAATTATCGATGATCCTCGAGTTGTTCAACATTTGGGCCCAGCAGGAAGGCTTACGAGGCATTCAGTATGCTACTGCGAGTGCTGACGGAGGCGCTGCTGCATTTAACGTCCTCGCCAACCGAAGTTATTCGGAGCGTACTGCTATTGAGAAGATGGCTGCTGAGGATACTTCAGACATCAAAATCTCAGGTATTATCAAGAGGCTATATGGCCGAATCCACAAGACGAGGATCATCAATACGGGCAGTGACGAAGGTGCCCCTGGAACGTTGTCGCTAGGTCGGTGCACCATCAAAGGGTGGGACTGGCTTGAACTTGTCGATGGGTTTGAAAGGGCTACGAGCCAGCGGAGAGAAGTGTATGCTTCCCGGATATTCGGCTCTCAGCCCTGTTGGCTGCCCTTCACAAAGTTCATCCCCGTCTTCTTCGCAAACGAGGTTGGGGACCTGATTGTCCCGGAGCAGCCTGGCCAGGTGTGCCGGCAATGGTCTCCTCTTCCTGGGGGGCGCAACAGTCTCTACCTTGCTGTGAGTCTGCGATGCATCAGAGGATTTTCGGCCTCCGGATGCTATGAGGGTCTGGTTTGGTCGTGTGAGAAGGATACTACTCATTTGTTTGAGCCCTGTCAGAATTGCAAGAATGTGCCTAAGCTGTGCCCGAAGAGGCCACAGAGAGTGGAAAAGAGTAGTATTAAGGCAAGAAAAGGTCCAGCACAGATATTGCCTAGAGGGATAAGTGATGGTGTCGTCATATTCGGCACCAGTCGCAAGAAGCAGCTCTCTTGAATCATAGCGACAAGAGGTTTCTCCCCTTGCTGATAGCGGAAAAGCCGACGGCCTTGATCCTAAGGGACAAAAAGGCTTAGGTAAATTAGCATAAGCTTAGGATAGTTTTAGGATACCTTTGCTGAGTTTATGATCCCTTTTGCTAAGTTATTTTGATATCTATCTTGGGTCTGGTGTTTTCATGCTCCCCGAGGCCTATAGATGAAGTGCCTCATTCTGATCGGTGAGGCGCTTTGCCTGCTTTACTCGGAGCCTCAAAGCCTACACGCCAGGGTTACAGGCTACTAGGTGAGCTTGGAGTGGATGCAGAGATAATTACATACCGGACTGTAGAAAGATTGCTAAGTCGCAGGGCATCTCGAGCCCACCGGTGACTCTATGAAGAACGTGACGTTTGGGAGAGATGCTCTGCTGTTGCAAGTTTCTAACAGACTCTCACATCAATTGTCGCCAGTTGGACTGGGGAATCACAGAGCCCCCAAGTTCATCCTGATGCGCATCGTCATCGTGAAATGGAGAAAATAGTGTGATTGCATCCATACTTCTTCCGTAGCTGAAGAACCTCCTTGACCTGGGGGTAGAAGAACCCCCACGTCTATCCCATGTCAGCATGATCAATCCAAGACAACAATGACGATCAGTGTCCTCCAGTGCAAAGAACCCCAACCCTCTCTTTGCTTTTTCTCACTTATCGCAGCTCTAGTGTCATATCGCTGAAGATTCTCTAGAGAAAGAGGTTAAGTGATCAGCTATTGCCTTCGGCACTTCTGTGCCGTTTCCAGCTGTTACAGCTGTACGCGACCGGATACCTTACGCGGTTACCCTTTGTCTTTTGTAAGTTCGAATAAGCTTAGGGATACACTAGAACGTGGGCGATATTGTGAATGGCCTAGTGCGCAATTTGGTCCTCCTCGGTTCGGTGTTGTATTGTGTAAATGATCACCAGTCAATCAACACAGCCGTATGTTGTCTCATGAACCCACAGCCTACATACTCGGGCGGCATATGAGCCCAGGCTTGGCGATCCTGTGTTCATTACAGTTACAGGTAATATCTATGCACCAAAATGACTGTTTGCGTAATGCATGATTAAGCTGTGGTCTCAACGCTCAAGCGAACTCCAGCTGGTAAAGGTTGCTGGGCTAAATGCTTCGACAGGCTAATGCTGAAGAACGCCGATTTATTTGCATGGTTTAACAGTCTTTACATGACATCAAAGGCTTCAATTAAGCTACGTCGGTTGAATGTGCGCCATGATTCTGTTCAAGATGGGAATGGCCAAGAATCATGACAGCGTCCGATTTTGTGTTGAGTGAGGGTAGTGACCAATTCTGAACAGAGTCAATCCGGCAATCTACACGAAACCGAGTAAGAGACCTATCATCCAGACACTGAGCTATGCAGATTTATTACACTCTGAGAATATACCAGCATACGCAAAGATGAGTCAGGAAGTGTCGGTTGTGAGAGCAGATGTCTTGGTTCATTGTAGGGTAAGTGGATTCGACAACAGACATCGACTCGCGAGCTTATCAAGAGCAAACTCAACAGGCATTCATCAAGCACTGAGAGTGAGCAAAAGTCGTGTGTTTCAGTCTGGCTCTGCTCTTTTTGCTGTCTTCTTCGGTGCTGGCGCTTACTTCCACATCAGACCGGAAAAAGTACTCGATCGGCGTAATGCTCCCCGCATCACGACGAAAGTCGCCGATGAGCTGACGGGATCAAAGAGAGATGTATAATCCGCAATGAATAAGATGAACAGAAACAAACAGGGACGTGTTACACGCAAATTCTCACCTGAATCTACTGGATTTATAGCAGCTCATCATGACCCGTACAGTCACACGAAACCAGGACAAGCTCTTCATCCCACCTGGAGGCATCGACTTCTCATCTCAAGTAAACAAGCCGGGAGTCGTTGACATCTACTTGAGAGCCGGCGACAACACACCAGGCACAGGTCTTCACTGGCACGAGACTCACACAGAGTACCTCCAAGTCGTCCAAGGCTATGCTCTTGTGACCGTCGGAAACCGCACAGCTGTCTTCTCAAAAGATGACGGGATCATCACCATACCGCGGTACACAATCCACCAATACATGCGCGCTGACAAGACGGACGAAGGGAAAGCGGGAAAGAACGTCGACCTCGTTGTGAGGGAATGGACTGAGCCTGGTGATGGGGACAAAGAGGTGTTCTTTCGCAACATGATCAGCTTGATCATAGACAAGAAGGATGGCGCATTGGGCACAATGGGGATGCTTCTCTCTGTTATGACAGTTTGTTGGTCTCACGACAACTATCCTGTCTTTTGGAAAGGACCAGAGGTCTTTGGGGAGGCTGTGCAACAAAGAGTGAGAAGAGCTGTGACATTTTCTTTGGTGGGATGTCTTGTTCTCCTTGGCCGACTTGTCGGATACAAGCCGCAATATCCAGAATACACACCGTAGAAAGTTTATTCTCAACTCGGAATCTATACCCTTTGCGCAAGTCTCAAGTCTTCACCTGAAGTTTGCATATACCAGGTTAACAAACTCAACCCCGCGTTCAGTCCCTTTCAAGATCATCCTAGTCTTCACGGCTTTCAACCTCGGCGAGGCATATCCATGTGCTGTTGACAGCTTCACCAAAGCATTAGCGGGATCGACAGTGCCAAAAACGAACATCGTCAAGCCATAGCCCAAAGCTTATCGACGGGCAAAGAAAGCCACGAGAACCCACTCACAAGGCTGTAACAAGAAAAATGTGGAGGCGGTTCGAATTCCTGAAACAAGAGCGTCGAGGTCTAACCGTCTAACTAATTCATCTTGGCACCCGACTTTGAACGGGAGTATTTCCACTTCTGGTCTCCGCATGAACACTATCCACATACAAAGTCGGGATGGCACCTTGTTTCAGGATCGACTAAGAGTAAAAAGTCAAAATGTATACATACAGTGGTGAAGTATCACGGGAATAATACGAGGCGGTCTTGATGTAGGCTGCCTATTGAGCTGAGGTTCAAGTTTCACAGCATTCGGGCGATGGCCGATACGATATGCGGAAAGAGATTTGCAAAGTTCCAAGGTCTCGGATATTAAACAAGACCAGCTCTGGGTGATTGCGGAGGAGAGGTGATGATCATGGACAGAATGTGGTTAATCCCCGAGTGGTTTTGTGGAAAGATCGTCGATAGTTGCAGCTGAGGCATAAACAGACACACAGTAGCGCACAAGCAGGTCGAGCCAAAAGCGGGCAGTTCTATGTTTCAAGCTACGTTTTAGCCTCAATATCCCAAGCACCAAGTTCTTTCTGGCCGATTCTAGCATTCTACTTGCGAGCCCGAAGCCTTCTTTGTCCACGTTCCTCGATTTGGCTATCACATGATGCTTTGACACAGACAGTGGGATTCTTCTTTCTGCACAGAAGCTTCCTTTGCTGGCCTGTGCATTAAGCCACGCGTTTCAGATTCGCATACGCTGTAATGCATGCCCTTTGACTATTCCCGAATGGGGAGCGGAAATGTGCAGCAAACCAACAGAGAAAACTGCCAAAAGCCGGCTTCGAAAGGTTCCATGAAACCTTCTCTCAGAGAAGCTAGCGAGCGCCTCCCCTGAGCTTGGAGAGATTGGAGAGCTTTGGGACCCATGATGTCAGGCAGGGGTCATTGGCAGTTGAAGTGTGTAGGATGCGTGCGTGCTTGCTTTTTGCTTGAAGGGTTCATCGAGAGATTTGTGGTAAAATCTCATGATGAGAAGAGAATACTTCGGATAGCTGCGTTTCTTACCTGCAAAGATCTGCTGAGAAAATATCTTGTCGTCGAATCCCATGATACAAGATACCGGTGATTGGGTATGTGGGAAGGTGACTAGCCGCCGTGGGCCGTGGGCAGATGGCGTCGATTTGAACTGTAGATTGAGCCCAGAGATAAGTCAGTGACTGAGATACAAGATAGATCTATCAGTAAACATAAGTCATGATTGCCGATAACGTGTGTTGAAGCTTCTCCTCGGATGTGTCAAACTGATGCAGCTTCCTATATCGAAGTAGACAGCAAGAACGGGATGCCTGTACGGAGTAAAGTTCAAAAGCTTCCTTGCACACTCATGCAATGTCCTTCTGGAAGAGGAGGGGAACCACAGCACCACACCACCCGTTCTGGCGGATTCAGGGGCTTATCCATGTCAAGTCAATCGTCTTTCTCGAGACCCCTGCATCTTTCCCCCCCTCCCCTCTTTGGGCGTCAAGTCAAAATTCTTGCCATGTGACGGTGACAGCAAATGCTGCTTTTTCCTTTCTCTGATAGCGACGGTAGTATCGTTGAACCCCTGTTGATCCCTGAATCAGAGAAAGAGGACATTGTGGGACTGGAAGTGGTTAGCGACAATGCTTGGTAACACTTTACTGTTACCATTGGATTTTGGTGTTTTATTGGACTAGGTATCTTGTAGATCAGGGTCTTGGCCCAGCATCTCGCGACTCATGTGCACATTGACCTCCCTTCCAGAAAGCTTCTTTTCTTGTGCAAAACGTAATTAGTTGGTGACTTGCTGATGACGATTAAAAAGGCCCGAGGAGGAAGAACAAGTGCCTTTGGGTTAATTTGAAACATAATGGATAAGGATGGATGGAGATAGGATGGGAGACGATGTGCACCCGGGGAAGACTTGTTAATGCCCAAGGAAATGCACGTCCCTCGAACTCTTCGCACGGACTCCATCGGTTACAGTTGCGCCCTGTGGTACAGTGTCGATTGTGTCATATTGCGCACAGTCCTATCCATTTGCACAAGGGTCTGGTCTGGTCTGATCCCCTTTTTCCCCCTCCAGATCATGGGAGAATTTTCTTGTACCTTACTCAAGCGATTGTCGTACAGAGAGAGACAGAGAGAGTATCACCTGAAATGTAATCACTCGAGTCATA